CTCTCCCTTCCCTTGTCTGCCTCCGCCGCCTGTTTTGATAACATAGAAATGTCCATGTTTCTTTTCATCACTCTGTGATGCATCTCACTATGGAAGTAGCCCAGCAAAAGCTGCGGGCAGCATCAGGTGTTGCTACTTGAAACCTTGGGCTGGGATGCCTTTCATTCCATTGTCGGCCATCTCTTTTCTGATAGCTGCTGACATGGCAGAACTGCTATTCTCTGGTTTACTTTCAAGTTTCAGAACTTTGACCAGGCCCATTGTTGTCTGTTGCGCAGCTGTTTGGTGAGCCAGTGACCATCGCATCAGGGGCAGGGCTTGCTTCGGAGGGTTACACTCTTATTATGACCCCTGATTCTGCAGGCTTAGTCTGGGAGAATCTTGTTGGAAAGGGGGCCGTGCCAATGGGTGAGGCTGCCTGGGAAAAGCTTCGCATTCTGGAAGGTACGCAACACACAAACGTTGCACTCCAGTGTTATGGCCTTAATAACATGAACTTCACAAAGTGTCACAAGTTCACAACCTGATGCAAAGGGCTTTCACTAGACTGAAATCAATCTCAAGGTTATAGAAATAGATGTCGCAGCTTGGTGTAAGTGGCTCATGGCTGACCCACATGTTGGCAATGAGAGTGGAATTATTCGGGTGCATGGCAGGTACAGGGAATTCTATGGCATGGAAAATGTGGGGCTGCTGTAATTTTATCCTTCGGCAGCGAGCAATTGCTGGCATGTAGTCAAGATGAGAACCCCGATGCGGCATATTCTGAGCTTCGTTTGGGCAATAAAGGGGTCAGTGCAAAGAACCAAGGTCAAATCAACACAGAACAAGTCTCAGGGTCGTAAGCTTTTGGCCAAGTAACCATAAGGTTCTGCTTTTATTATACCAAAAAAAAAAAAAAAAGAAAGGCCAAGTCAGGGGTCTAGGGTTAAAAGTTGGTCCTACAGCCTCTCAAGAGTCAGAAAGTCCTTACGTTGGTAGGCCTGGGGTCAAGGGTCAAAAGGAGGTGCCCAGGGCCTGAAGAGTTAAAAGCAGTACCTAGGAATGCCAACAGGCACGTCCGACCCGGGCACATAAGTGAAAGACTAAGATTTCTCAGGAGTCGACCATGGCCACAGATCACGCACAAATCCAAAGGCTCAGTGCAGTTTCCAGAAATTTCCAAGGTCCCAGGCACACGCTGGCCGCAAGCAAATCTTGGCTGCACAGATCGAGAAATCTCAGCCCCGCAAGGACGCAACTGTAGGCAGGCTATCTGCAGTCAACACGATGATACTGGGCCTGCCCCAGTCGTGCATTCATTCTGCCTTGCACTGGTTTGAGGCTGGAGCGCTGCTGCTGAAGCACTAGCCCTGGAAGAAGGCAGTCGGAGAGTGAGAGTGAGAGTGAGAGTGAGAGCTTGAGTAGCCATAGCTAGAATAGCCAGTGCGCTGCACCATAGCTTAGTGGTAGAGAGAGAAAGTGAGTTTTGAGGGATGCTCACATCCTTTGCAGAGAGGGGGGGGGGGGGGGGGG